TATTATTCATTTGCTTCTCACTTGGCTCTCCTACCCACAATGGCCAAAGTAATCTTCAGAAGACATAGGTTCAATCATACCACTTCCCTACTAACAATCCTTCAGTGGCTTTCCATTGACTTAGGATAAAATACAAATTCTTGTTTCTGGAATTAACGGTCCTCTACAATCTGACTTTTACCTTCTTTTTCAGTGTTATTTCATTATATACCCTTTCACAAACTTTCCGTATCAGATAAACTGAGCTATTAGTTGTTCCTTGAACTTAACATTCTCTAAGGTATTTAGGTGCAACAAGAGTTATGGATCTGAAATTAGAAATTCTTTCTCAGCCACTTATTAGCTCTGTGACCCTGAACAAGTCACTTAACCATTGTCCTCAGTTTTCTATCTATAAAATGGAAATATAATACCACATATTTTCCAGGGTTGTGGGAATTAAATGAGATAAAATGTTTAAAGTGCTTTGAAAATCTTAAAGTCTTAAAGCTTAAATGCTCATTATTATTATTATTTTCTATCCTACTTCTGTGCAATCACACTCTCCTCTTCCTGGAATGCATTTTATCCTTAACTCCAGCTTTTAGAATCTTGTCTTCCTCGGGTTTCATTTTTTCTATGACTCCTCTGATACCTCCAGTTGTTAGAAATCATTATGTTCCCAGTTTTCTGCTTGTGATAATATCTGCACATATGGAATTCCCTCAATCTAATGGCTCATTGAGGGAAAGGACTGTATATGTTGAAAATTATATAGGCTTTGTATCCATCTAGCAGGAAATGACAGCCTCATTCAATATTTTTGCATAATAACACTTATAATCAAGGCTAAAAACATTAATTAAGCTATCAAATAGTTGTCCTTCATAATGATTCCAAACAGAATTCTAATTAATGCATGGGTTAATTTTGCTTTCCCATTATAGATATTAGTCCCTATTGTATCAAAGCCCTATTATTTTCATTTTAGAGAAGAGCGTGCCATGAACAATGCTTCCCATAGCACCTGAACAATCTTCCCTTTTAATACCAACCTTCCCCAGCAGCCCAGCTCGTGGAATCTGACAATATCTATCATCTTCCTCTGAGACAGAAGTTGGCTGTGCTATCTGTAAATTAGTCTGAAGGCTGCAGGTGTCTTAAATCATGAAGGAACTAGTTGTACCGGGATAGACTCCCCATAGATTGTCTCATCAAAACAGTAAAAACAGAAATGCTAGACACTCCTGTTGCAGGTTAGAAAAAACAATGAATTTTTGTGCAAACTATCAACAGCTTTATGGAAAACCGCTCCAGATCACTAAAAAGAAGAGAAATGCAAAATAAAAATAACTAAATTTTATACACCTATGAGAGTATAAACAATGACTCTGCTCAGGCCATCAGTGGCTCACATCTTGTCAAACTGCAAAGGATGCAAGAACTGGAGTGGTCATTTACAGCTGGCGAAAAGAAGAGTGAGAATGTGTTTATACTCCATTGCTTCTTTAGAAGGTAATGAAGTTTCTCTGCCAATTTGATGGAATTTTAGAGTGTCTAGCTCTGAGTGTCTGGCTGGCTGAAAAACCAGCCACATGCATGGTAGCCTTTTAAAAGCTCTCCATCAAGCTATCTCTAAAGAGTAATCTAGAAAGGAGCCCTGGTATTCAAAAAGAGAGTCTAGATGTAGAGCCAAGTTGAATTAAGGAGACAAAGAAGGTCAAGAATAACATGCCCAACAGATAATTTAATACCCTTGGGACCTTGTTGTGCTAGAGGTGTAAGTTGTCTTGGCAATGTGTTCTCTCAATGTATGTCCCTCTACTATTATATTCTATACGTATGCTGACTCTATGTGTGGTTTTGTGGGAGAGTGCACTCCAGGTTTATAGTGGGAATAGAACATTTTGTAACTACTGTTTATGCTATAGCATTTCAATAAATGGACTTGCTTGCTTTAAGCTGACTGTTAAAGGCAAACACACCGATGGGGGCTGTGAACTAGAGTTTTGAAACTGCTGCACAACAGTTGGTACCTTGAACCCTCCTCATAATAGAATCCCCTTGGGAAAGGGACAGTCATTTCTTCTCAAAATTGCAGGAGTACGCTACAGTGTGTCATATGGAGGAACCCAAATACAGTAGAAAAGAGACGAGGTGCTAGAAGGCCATTGTCTGCTCTTGGTTTTGTTTCTCTGACTTTAGAGAGAATCTTTCACTTCACTGAAGCCAACTTTCCTTGTATGAACAATGAGGATAACAAAAAGCTGTGCTCCTGTGACAACCTTACAGTGTTGTTTTGAGGATGAAATAATATATGTGAAAGCACTATAAATTACAAAGTACTATGTATTTCTAAGTACATAGTACTATGTACCTAAGGTATTATATTTATGCTGCTGCTGTTTCTAATGGCAACAACAACAACAATAATGATGATATTTTTTAGGAAACTAAGGATGCATGGTAATCAGCAATAATTCCAGTCACTTGATGTGTGGAAACTGTCTTGAAGTAGGATCCAGGAACCTTGGTCCTGCCACTCATTAATTAGTTGGAAGATCTTGGAGAATTAAGGAAATGTCACTGAGCTTATGTGTTCTCATGTGTAACATGATGAGGATTGGACTAGATTAGGGAATCTTAACCTTTCTTGTATCATGGACCCCTTTGGCAGTCTGGTGATGCTTGTGAACTTTTGCTCAGAACATTTCTTTTTCACACGTAAAGTACATAAGATTAAAAGGAAACCGAAAGTTAGGGAAGGAAAAAAAAAATGTGTTTTTTCAATCAAAGTTCATGGACCCTCTGAAATCCATCCATAGACCAGATCCCAGGTGAAAAATTCCTAGGCTACATGATTTACATGATTCCTTCAAGCTCTATAAATTCATGATTCATTAGAATATCAATACGTTCTGACTGTACCTTAATAAACAGAGACATCTAGAATTAACTCTACTTGCTGACTAAAACTGTAAAATGTGTTCTCTTTTTTATGCAGGTGTCTCAATTGGGAAATAGACATCCTCATTGTGAAGACTAGGCTCTCTCTTCTCCTGGTCATTCCCCTTGGACTCTCCCATCAACATAACTTATCTTATAATTTTATGGAATAATAATAATAGCTGTATATGATATATGTAATATGATGTCATCACATTTTCCCTGTAGTTTCCATAAAAGGTTCCACCATCTTTCTAGTCACTCAGATTCACAACCCTAGTCATACTCTACTCTTCAATCTTCCTCACCCCACATAGCCACTCAGCTGCTGAGTCTTATCATTTGCACCAGCACACAATCTCTTACATCTGTCTCTATCTTTCTATTCACATGGCTTCAGGCCCTATTGACTAAACTGTAGTAATAACTGATATCCAACTGGACTCCCTGCTTTCAGTTCCTCCCCTCTCCCACTCAGCAGCCAAAGTGACATTCCAAAAACAAAAGTCTGACCATGTCATTCCCGTGCTCCTGACGCACTAGAGGCTCCCTTTTACCCCTGGAATTAAACACTAACTATTCTGATTGACATTCATTTAAAGCCATTGATAACCTTATTCCAAATTTCCTTTCACAAATTCTACATTCCAACCAAACTACCTTTTTTCTCATAATTACACATGATCTTTCATATTCTACCTCTACACTTTTGTACATATTATCCCACAGAGCTGGAATCTACTCGTCTGATTTTTGCCTTGCAGAATTTCACATCTCCTTCAAATCATAGCTCAAGTGACACTTCTTACACGAGACCTCACTCAATCTCCTGAGTTGCTGGTTTCTCTCATCCAAAAATACCTTGTGTCTTTATATACATTTATCATATATGTTGTTTCCTTCAAAAGAATGTAGAGTCCTTGAGAGATGGGGTTGATTTTTTGTGTTTGTATCCCTATAAGACACCTCAGAGCCTTGGGGCAATGAAGATAGTTAATAAGCACTAGTAGATGAATCGATTTTATGATTAAAATCAATTAATGATTTTATTCCATTCCTCCTGCCTCTCCTCAATACACCTCCAGTACATTCATTTGTATCTTGTGCTTTCTGGATCTGAAATTGTTAGCTATCACTAGGACAAGAAGTTTAGCTATCAAAATTTCTCTGTTCAGGGCTTAAAATCTGGACAGCAAGTTCAGGTGTTTAATTATTAAGGTCTAGAATTCTCCCCCTCTTCATCCACATCTCCTGGATTGCCTGATTTCCTTCAAGTCTGAGCTAAAATTCAATTTTCTCCAAGAAACTGAATGTTAGTACCTCCCTTCTTATGATTATTTTCAATTCATCCCATATACATATTGTTTGTATGTAGTTGTTTGCATATGTCTCCCCCCATTAGAATGTGACTCTTAGAAATGGGGCTGTTTTTTTTGTTCGTTTGTTTTTGCTTTGTTTTACTTTGTTTTGTTTTTGAATGTATTTTTTTTTTTTGCCTTCTGAGTGGCTGGCACACAGTAAGTATTTAATAAATGCTTGTTGACTTCTTGACTTGGCAAAGTAGTGTAAATTACATGAAAGCATATAATTGTTATCACCTACCTTTTTGATATGGGAAATATGACAAAGGAAGGAAAGTTCTAAAATCCTACTTATTGTAGGATGTAACTCTGGTCATTTACACTGTTCCAAAGGGAGATGGGAAAGGTCAACCATCCAACTTTGGAACTGGGGGTGGTGTGCACTTCCCCTCTGGTTTCCATTCCCTCTGTTAGCCTACCCATTGATTGACCTCAGTTGCAGGAAGTATCTTTGAGCTCTTCTATCACCTGCTTCAACCTTCTAAGACATAAAAAGGGACTGGAGTTTAGTTTGCCAGTTCTGAAGCCACAGCTGAGTGCTATTTCTGGTTATCGCCTCATCATTTCCTGTTGCTCTTTTCATTTCTGGTAAAAATCTGAAGGGCTAAGCATTTCAAAATGGTTTTACTGATGATAAGAGACCTGCTTGCCTTTTTTCCAACTATATTTTCATCCCACTATTTAGCCAGCTTGAGAATAACTTGAAATACTTACTGGATTGAGGATAAGGGTAAAGAAAAGTTCTCCTCCTTGGATACTCTTGTCTAGTTCTTTTGGACCTCCTGGATATTCTTTGTAGAAGATTGTATGTGTGAAAAGACCACAAGTTTGTCGGGGAAGAACCTGATTGAAAAATGAACAGGTCAGGAAAAAAACAGTTACTTTCTGTTGTGATTTGTGGAAGCTGTGACATTTCCCTCATCATACATTATATATGATAGGAAACCATTTCACAAGGCCAAATACAAATTGAAAGATTACTCATACTCTGAAAAAGGAAGGATGACGCAAAAGTATATGGGATATTTATTCAAGGGTAAAAAAAAAGGGAATTAGAAAGAATGTTTTAAAGATAAGGTAGATATATAATTAATTTCATCCATGCAAGCCCTTTAAATTACATATTTGGAGCTTACATTTCAAAGCTTCCAAAAGTATAAACAATGAAATGAAATGAACTTTTCAATACTGATATTGTCTTGCCTATTTACCAATACTGGTAAGCACTCTATTTTCTTTAAAAATGTATACCTACATTAATGTACTAGCTTAATATGTTTTTGAGGGGGGAGATGACATCTTTAATTCAATTGAGCCTCTGGATCATAAAGGAAAGATTGATATACTCTAAAGCTCATATTCCCAGTTCTGAAGTCTGGTAGTTGCCAAAGAATTTATGTTTTTTGGTAGTCATTTTTAATAATCCCATAACGTATACGTACCATATAATGTTAAAAAGGCCACCTTTTCATCATTGAATAACACAAGTGCCATTATTTGTTACCATTGTGCAACTGCATGGTAAGGACATTTTTCAAATTCTTATGGTTTTCCTTGTGAAATATGACAATTTTATAAGAAAGCAAGGAGTGAAGTTGTGTAAGTAGGCACATTCCTCAGCTAAATCTTATAGAATGACTTGCTTATGGTCCATGTTCATCACTAGGAGCTTGAAGTGACAGGAAATTAATGCATTTGCTTTGGGGAACAGCCTGTCTTCCAATTTCTAAGGAAGGAAACTCTTTTATTGATTGTTCTTAGTAAATGAATCTTCAATCCTGCTGTCCTATTCCTCAAAGTTTATGGTAAACTTGATTCAATATATATCTTCAAAATATTGGTGCTTCTTGTCAAATTTTTGGAAAAGAGAATTATTTGAAGAATTCTTTCAATCATTAGGCTTTATTATAGAAATTTACCTTTTTTTTGGAGAATGTCTACTAATAAATATGCTGTTATATGGGTTGTAGTAAAATTTGTTCTAGGCATTGATAGGTTTCCCCGAGCACAAGCCACTGCAAATTCACTTTGAATAGCCTACTTTGAGATGCTCATTTAATAAAACCTTTCACGTTAGTAGAGGAGTTAAAAGACAAAGTTACTGTGGGTAACTGGAAGAAGGACTTAAAAGCACCTCTATTTTGCTAATAAATGAAAGTTTTATTCAATGCACAGATTGCATAACCCTGGTGAAGTCTATGTCTTAAGATATTAGAGTAGAAATGAGGATTATTTTTTCTTGATTTGGACCTGTGATTTCATTAGTATGGGGAACATGTAAATGTGGAATTCTCTGGGTTAATGCACATTGGCAAATGATTTATAATTTATAGATGTTATTTCTCTAATTTCTAGATTTAGAGAGCTGCCTTTGGCACTGACAGGATAAGTGGCTTGCCAAGAGTGATACAGTTCATATATGTCAGATGCAGGACTTGAACCCAGACCTTCCTGACTCTTTACACTCTGTACCAGGTTGCCTTAATGTCACACACAAAATAAGGAATTAAATCAACCCCCAAAACAAAACGAAAATATTATTTCTATTATGATTTAATTTATTCACTCAAAATAGCCATTACCATACTTGGAAAGGTCATTTCCTGAAATTATTAACCCAGAAGGTTTGGTCTTGTTTTGCATTCATTAATTCATTTGACAGATATTTGTGCATAGCTCTGTTTTATCTGTAGCAGGAGGCACAGAATATGAAGCATGCCTTCTGTTCTTAAGAAACTCAAAATTCAGGTGGGAGGACAAGGTATAGTAAAAAGGCTATGTGGTATTGAATGCCAAATGAAGGGGACAAAAACTATGGGAAATCTGAGAAGGGAGAGATCATAGTGGGCTACAATGGGGTTAAGGAAGGCCAAGAGATAAGATTTATGGTGGGATTTCAAGGATGGGTAACATTTAAATAAATAGAAATGTGGGGTTAGAAAATTTCAGGTGGGGAAATTGGAATAAGTAAAGCGAAAAACATGAGAATAGGAGAGTGAAGAGAATAAGTTGTAGGTTTGGATTGGATTGTAGATATCTTTAAACGCAAGACTAAAGCTTAAACTCTATTTTATAGTCAATGAGAGTTGCTTAATGCTTTTGAACCATAAAGTGACATGATATATGAAAACCACATTTGAGAAAATTTAATTTGATGCTGAAGAAATAGAGAATAGGGTAGGAAGATGAGTTGGGAGCCTGTTGAAATTACCTAGTCATGAAATGATAAGAGCTCAAATGGAGTAGAGCTAATGGGAATAAAAACAAAGAGCAGATGCAGGGAATACTATAAAGGAATAATTGATAGGTCTTGATGACTGAAACTGGATTCAAAGTTATTATTATTATATTCTTACCCAGAACATGGAGTTCAGGATTGGATCCCATCTCTGACCCTCCTTGGTCCTTTGGGAAGTATGATAGGATGAATATCTACAGGGGTTTTTTCCCCCACCCACCATGGATTAGAAAAAGAAAAGCTGAGATTTGATTGATCAAAAACTGGGCAAGATTCAAGCTTTGCTTCCATTAATATAGCTTCAAGGTGGCCTCTGGATGTGTGGACAAGGCTTCCAGGTCCCATAGAGGGCCAAACAGTTTCCTGCACCTGTCATGGAGTCTGGCCCCTCCAACACAGTGGTTGTCTGAAAACCACTTGAGTCACTACCACATGCCATCTTCCTGATGAGACCTGTTTCATAAAGGGATGGGGGAGGTGGGGTATTTCTATAGAAGCTAAATACCGCTTTATTCTTGCCACGCCAAAGTTAAGTCAACCTCCTTTGGTTAACCATTCAGTGACCTTACAGTGTCTCATTTTGTCCCAATATGGAACATAAACGAGTAGGTGCCTTTTCAGGCCTACCTCTAACAGGATGCCATATGTAAAATAGAGATGAGAGCTCCCCTGCATCATAGAGCTGTGGGAGGATCAAATGAAAAAATGTGTGAAGTTCTTTAAAATTCTTAAAACGCTACGTACATGTGAGTTATTACAGACTCTCTCAATTTCAAATGCAGGTCTCTTTCTACTGTCTTTTGAAGATGTTTTCAATAAATTGATATACATATCAAGTGATCTAATCAAGTTATAAGCATGTAAAAAGAGATCATGAAGGTGAAATCACAGAGCTCAGAAAACCCTGAGCTGATTATACAGCAACAAGAAAAAGAAATCAGTGCTTATATAGTTCTTTAAAGTTGGGCAAATAGTTTATAGAGATTATCTCATTTTAACCTTACAGAAGCCCTATTAGGTAGATATTCTAAGAATTATCTTGATTCTCTAGATGAGGAAACTGAAGCTCAGAGAGAGAGTGACTTGTCCATGGTCATATAGCTATTAAGTGTCAAAAATGAATTTCAAACCCAGATCATTCAGACTCCAAGACTAGCACTCCAAACATTATGTAGGAACTATAGGGATATAGATTGGGTCTGTGTTTTTACTGGTGTAAGAAACTCCCTGGTGAGGAAACTCCCTCTACCAAAGTAGTTTAGTATCTTGATTATAATCCTAGGTCCTTTGATTTCTGGAATATGATATTCCAAGCACTCTACTCCTTTAATAATGACATTGCTAAATTTTGCATGATCCTGACTGAATTGAATTGTTTCTTTCTGGCTGCTTCCAATATTTTATCCTTGACCTTGAAGCTCTGGAATTTGATAGTGTTCCTGGGAGTTTTCATTTTGAGATCTCGTTCAGGAGGTGATCAGTGGATTTTTTTTTCAATTTCTATTTTATCCTCTGGATCTAAGGTATTTGGGTCAATTTTCTTTGATAATTTTTTAAAATATGAAGACTAGGCTCTTTTTTATCATGGCTTTCAGGTAGTCCAGTAATTCTTAAATTATCTCTTTGTGCTCTATTTTCCAGGTCAGTTGCTTTTCTGATGAGATATTTCACATATTCTTCTATTTCTTCCATGTTTTTGACTTTGTTTTATTGTTTCTTCATGTTCCATGTGGTCATTAGCTTCCACTTGCCCAAGTCTAATTTTTGAGAAATGATTTTTTAAAAGAGATTTTTGTATTTCTTCTTCCATTTGGCTAATTCTGCTTTTTAAATTAATTCTTTTCTTCCATGGATTATTCTGCCTCTTTCGTCTAATGACAAAATGGCCAATTCTGTTTTTTTTTTGAGGTGTTATTTTCTTCAATATTTTTGATGCCTCTTTTTACTGAGCTGTTAATAGTCTTGTCATAATTTTCTTGTATCACTCTTACTTCTTTTCTCAACTTTTCCTCTACCACTGTTATCTTTTTTTTTTTAAATTCTTGCTGTAATTCTTGTTGGGCTTGGGTCCAATTGATATTTTCCTTTGAGGCTTTATAAATGTTTTAACATTGCTGCCTTCTTCTGAGTTTATGCCTTGGTCTTCCCTTACACCAGAGTAACTTTTTTATGGGCAAGTTCATTTTTGTTGCTTGTTCATTTGTCTAGCCTATTTCTTAACTTTGAATTTTATATTAAAGTTGGGCTCTGCTCACCTGTGAGGAAGAAGGCACTGTCCCAAGCTTCAGGCTTTTTTTGTGCTGCCTTTTTTTAGAGCTAGTTCTGGGGAATCTGCAAGTTTTCCTGGCTTCCAGGGTGATATGATCCAGAGAGAGATGTGTTCACTATTCTCTCGTTCTTCTTCTTTGGTGTTTATCCTGGAAGGTACCCTGCTTCTCTTCTTGCAGGTGCAAATCCTAATACTCCTCGTGGCCCTGGATCTATGACCAGGTCTCCTTTTCTCCTACAGTTACAAGTGGTATTGCTCTTCTCTGCCTTGCAACTGTGACCAAGGTCCCTGTTCCCTTGTGACTGAATATAAGTGCTTCTCTTGGCCATGGAACTGCCACTTAGAACTGTTAATGGCAATAGCACTAGCCAATCAGCACCAGCTGCACCTAGTACTAGCAAAAGGTTGCCCATAATCTCTTTCTGACCAGTTCTTCAATCCACTTGCATTCTCTTGGCTGAGAACTCTCAAATCTACTATTGCTTCTAGTGTCATAGCCACCTCCAAAGCCCACCCTTGATGCTCCACCCTGGGCCAACTCCCACCCTGCTGTCACAGATGACTCTTGTCAACCTTCTATGCTGTCTTAGGCTGGAAAAATGCCTCACTCTGACCTTTGGTTGGCTCTGCCACTCCAACCTTTGATTTGAAGAGTTATTTTAAAGTTGTTCAGAGGGGAAAATGGGGAGAGTTCAGTTGGGTTGCTGCCTGTACTCCACCATCTTGACTCCCTAGATCTCAAATTGTTCTTTAACTTGCCCCCAGCAACTATGATTCTGCCAAAAGACTGTATTTGGCAGCTTGAAATATCATAACAAATCCATTCTGGGCAAATAAGCCCATGGCAGCAGGAGGGAGTACAAACTTCCAAGAATTCTATTGTTAGGAAATTCTCACTAGTGTAAATCTTAGCAACAATAAGCACCCCTGTCTGCACTCCCAGCTCCCTTTCTGACCTCTACCAACACTTAAGCCTGTTAGTGAACCTTACACAGTGGTAGAGGAAAGAGTTCGGTGTGACTCAATGTGATCACCAATACACCCCACTTGACATTTTTGTAGACACTTGGGTCAACACCTGCGCTGAATTCTTGCATGCACTATTAGAATCTGTTGTTATATAACCATTCATCAGAGAGGGGGCAGTCTTCCTTTATATATGCACCTCAGCAATCACTCAAAATAAACCATAGAAACTACTCCCAGATCTTTCCTTGTGATACCCAATTTGGGAATGTACTAGGAATTTTATCTTTCTTTTATTATATCTTACAGAATCTTTACCTGAGGTGGTAGGCTGTATAATATCTATAATATCCTCAAGAACATATGCATTGATGCATGATAGAACCACAATCTGAGGATCTAATGAAAATCAGACAAAGGAACAGAAAGAAATTTTACAAAATCTGCTGTGTTTAAAAAAAATGTTTTTCCTGTTTAGAACACTGAGGGACTTTTGGATGCTTATTTTAAAGGAAAATCTCTGTTTTCTTAACTTCACATGATAACATACATTAGAAATCTGTTTACTGGGGTATAAAAGCAGCAATGGTAAATATAAATAAGACCATTGCCAATTTTGCAGAGCAATGGATTTTAAAAATAGATTTATAAGCTATCTGCAAGGCAGATGCAATATTTTCTTTCTCATTTATAAATCCCCATCATCAACTGATAGTAGGCCTTGTTTGGGGATCTTAGAAATTGGGCTAAATGGGTGAAGGGGTGGTGGTGGTAGAAAGAAAACCACTTTTCATTGCTATCTGAAGAAGCTTTGAGGGGTGGTTTTAATTAAAGAATATGACATGTGACAAATGTTCTTCACACAGCATGGAACTTTTCATATTGCTGAGCTTTTCATTTCTAGCACTTTCCTTTTTCACTTTCGTTTGAAAACTGAGAAGCCAGAAAAGGAAGTTATACTCAGAGAATTCGAGAAGAAACTCACCATGATGTTTTTATGGATGAAGCCACGGCGGTAGCGTGCTGGTTTCAGATGTGGATATTCCTCAGTGCTTGTGATTTTAATATTCCAGACTTTCTTCCAGGCCTCATAAAGTTGGACATGGACAGGATAAACTCCGGAATGATGAGGCGCCACTGCGTAGCCCATGTCGGTAGGAATGCCATGCTCCTGAAACGTATCAAAAAGATAATTGGGATAATAGAGAGACTTCATGTTTTATGATGTTTTTTTTCATATCAATCTCTGTTTGATAGCATAAAAAATATTTCCGGTGGGAGAAAGAAGTCTCCATTCAGATTCAAAATGTCAGTTTAACACATATTGGTTACATATTATTTAAGAACAGCTGGATTTCTGTTGCCTGAAAGCATTGGTAATGCAAGAAACAACAAGACATCAGCCCTGCCCGCCGGGAGTTTACAAATGAGGGAGTAGGGGGAAGAGGATATATGCAAAAGTAACTATGGTATAAAATTAAACATAGTGCAAAAGAGAGAGGTACAAACAACTTACAGTGTGAGATTTGAGTAAAATTCAGCTTTCATTGTAACCTATGGTAACAGAAGGGAAAACTGAGGCAAAGAAGTCTAGATATCTCTCTCACATTAAAAAAAAAATAAGCACTTTAAGTAGAGTCCAGGACTTTCCTATTATAATTCTGCCACTACTCTGACAAATGCAAGTGCAAGGCTGAAGGTATCTAGCAATTTTTGGAAGTAATTTATTCTCGTTTACATTCATCAATCTTGTTCTGGTATTGTCCATTCCCACGTCCTCCTATTGCTCGTGATATCACTGGTTAATATGAATTCAAGCATTTGCTTCCAATATCAGTCAGAACGTCCCTCTCTTTCCACATACACACATATATATGTATATAACCTAAATATATGCATGCATATATATGAATATGTGTGCATATATGTTTATATCTACACATATCAGCATGAATTATAGAAGTCAAGCACATTACATCTCTCTTGGGCTTATAGTTAAGTTTCCAGTTTCCAAATTGTCCCATTTCTATCAGATTTTCCCTTTATCATAATCCCCTCAGCAAGGAAGTCAGTAGTTATTTTTGTGGTCATAATAGACAATGCTCATTTTTTTTCTAGGATATCTATCTATCTGTCTGTCTATCTATGATTGGATAATATGGTTAAATATCTGGAGACTGATTTTGCTAGAAGCTGAAAACTATTCTTACAATGAAAGCAGAAGGCACTAAAGGTGTCAAATAATTTGAAAACCAGAGTTTGAAGTGAAACATTCATGCATAAAATTACCATGTTGAAAAACAAAAAAAAAAAAAAGACAAAAAGAACTAAAAAAAACAGCCATCCCTAAAATTTCATTCCCATACTATGAGCATGAAACCACTCTGTCATGATGAACATTTGGGACAGATGAAGTCTTCCCCAGGTGTTATCATTGAAAAAAATAAATCTATGTGACATGGATGTTTACAAAATGAGAATTTTCTATATGCATATTAGAAGCCTTAGTAAGTTACGTGATTTTTATTCTCCACTTGGTATATGTTATTAGAGCTGACACATATCCTCAGAATACAAGAAAATAACTCAACTGTCAGAGATAAGACTTAAAAAAAAAACCTTACTGATACTTTCTTGTGGATGGTTTTCCTTATTTTTGATCTTTAGGCTTATTTTTGTTTTAGAGATTTTTTTCAGAACCCAAGGTTCATTCAATTAAACATTCTTTGAAGTAGTCTTGGTTTTTCATCACGCAGTGGTATCCTTTATTTTTGCACATATGAAGTACCATTATTCCCAATCCATTCTGTCCAATTAGGGTCTGAATTTAATTAGACTCTAAATTTAAGGAAAGTACATGGGTCCAGAATATAAACACCTTAGCAAAATCAAATATGATGGAAATTATGAAGTAACAGTGAGGAGAGGGTAAAAAAAAATTACAAAAATGTTAGCATGAGAAACAATCAATCAATAGATTATTAAGTGCCTACTATGTGCCAGGCACTGTGCTAAGTGCTAATGGATACAAAAAAGCAAAAGAGAGTCCCTGCTTTCAAGGGTCTTACAATCTAATGGGAGCTCTTACTAACTAATTAAGTCAGATCATCCCAAGAAAATTTAAAGACAAAACTGAAAGGACAACAAACATGTAAATTGAGAAAAGTTTGTGAAACTTTCATATCTATCTCTACCTCTGATTTAGTTAATCTGCTTTAAAACATTTCCCTCCCTAATATGGAGTCTCCAAGGGAGCTGAGTGAGGACCAGCAGATTGAGTGGTATGAGTATCATTATATGTCACCTGTCACCTGTTGCACTAAAAAACATACATTAGAACAACTGAAAATCTGGTTCTTTATTTTTTAAAGGGACTATCTCTATTGATGAATTCATGATTCATTGAAGTGTTAAAAAGGGTACAAATTGATGACGAAAAAAATGGAAAAGACAAGAGGTGGAATTATTTGCCCAGGGTCTAATAGCTAGTAAGTGTCTGAAGTGGGATTTAAACCAGTTCTTCCTCACTTTAAGCTCAAAACTCTCTCCATTGTGCCATGGTTTCAAATTCATGTTATATTTATTTAAAAGCATCCAGAAAGTATTAATTCATACAAATTTTTTTTTTTGGTGGGTATGGAACCTGTAATTTCATTGGTGTAGAGAACTCCCAATGAGGAAATTCTTTCTGCCAAGGTAGAATATCAGATTGCTATGCAACTTTTCTTAAGAGTTACCCAGAGCACTGAGAGGTTAGGAGACCTGCCAGTATAATGTAGAGTTGGTGTATGTCAAAGGTGGTCCTTTAACTCAGGTCTTCCAGACTCAGGTCCTGCTCTAGTCATTATGCAATGATGCCTTTCTCATGCAAACTATATACAAAAAAATACAGACATCTGTTCAACAGTAAGTATACCTCTCACATATTCTCCACCTACTTAATGTTTTGGATGGTATAAAGAACTAATTCATTTTTTAAAATATTTTTTTCAACACAGTAAAAACTCAGAGAAGTGATTCTCACAAGTAAATTAATTGACTATGTTTCGTTTTCTTCCATAAGTTGAAATCCTATTCTCTCATGGTGCTATTTTTCAGCTTAAAAATGACTTTGGGGGGCTTATTTTTGAGGGGAATGGCAACATAAATCCCCATTATTTCTGAATGACATTAGCAGTCACAAAACTTCTATTTGTAGAGGATGAGAAAAGTGGTGCAGTGAATCAAATAAAAAATGAGCAAGAATAAAATACTTGGGAGAAAGTAAGGAAGATCAAATGCTCCAGTGTGAAAATTGTGACCTTTCTGTTTGGCGTGTTTGTTATTAAATATTTATTGCAGCATCTCTATTATTTATGGAATAAAATGGATGATTAATATGGTAAAACTAAATATACACTGTTCATGTGATCAATGAGTAGTGATATAGCCACAATGGTAGAAAATAAACTTGGTTCTTCTAATTATTGCCTATGGGCAATAGGGGAATTTAGTCAATATGCCTGTGTTCCACTTTTTTCATTTTTCAAATGATCAGAGAGGACTAGATAAGTTGCCCAATGTCCTTTATGGTTATCAATCCAATGATATAATAGGGGCAGGGGCACAAAACACCTTCAAAGACATTAAAGTTTCAAGGAATCATTGTGGAATGGTGGAATGAACATTGGTTGACTTTAGAATCAGAAGCTTCAGCATTTTAGTCCTAACTCTGCCACTAATTAGCTGTGAATGACTGAGAAAAGTATTCAAAGAGTATATTATTTAGGACCTCAGTTCTCCCATCTGTTATATTAGTTAGGTGGCTAGGTAATTTCGAAGGTCCCTTCCAGTCCTAAGATTCTATGGCCAAATATTAAAATACTACAACTAATGGAAGTATAATGTTCTATTATACTTCTAAAGTTATTTTGTGAGTAAACGCATAACTTTTTTGTATCAGAAAAGGAATTTTTTTAAAGTCCTTAAATTTAAAAAAAAATTAAAGTAACTGACAGTTAATTCTTTACCCATATAAATGGTTTGACAGCTAGAATTAGGGAATAGTGGTCTAGGTTCATCTAATTTGGTGATGGTTTCTAAACAGAAAAAAAAAATCTCGTGTGTCCAAGATAGACATAGAAGTGTTGTCGTCTGAAGGCAGGAATGATTGAAATGACCTCTCCAAGTTCATTCCAGCTCTTTAGTGCTAAATTTTATATTAGGATAATGTTATTGTTGACAGCAACATTAAAAAAATTCACAGAATTCCATGAAAATACTATTTACTCTGAGTTAATAAATTACTTTTAGCCAAATAGGTGAAAAAATTCAGTCCAATGAACTTATTTGACTATATACAGACTGGAGGAACTATGGGATTAATGACTTATTTTTTTTTTAATCATCTTAACTGTCAACATTTATCAATTCCAAAGCCCAACACAATTTTTTTTATGGGAATTTTCTTGTGTAGGGTATGATAATTTGGTTATTTCACACTGCAGAATTCCCCAGTCAGGCACCACAAACCCATCATGTAATAGAAATAACTCATATTTTTATATAATTTTAAGAGTTTCCAAAACGTGACTCATACAGTACTGGTCTGAGGTGAAAGTCAAATGTTTCTCCAGAACTCAAAGTGCCTTTCTATTTAGGAAGACAAGAATAATGGTCAGAGTTTATTATCTTATATTTTTTGTATTTGTTAATATGAACTTATGGGTCCTTTGTGTTTCAAGCATTCATTTTGTAATACAAGAAGTAAATAGCTGTCCTATACAGTTGGAGAATAATAAATCAGAGATTAAGAGATGCTTGACCTCTTCTCTCTGAAATAAGCCATTCTTAGCATGAATTAATACCTCAAGAGTCCAGAATCAGAGTCTGTTGTGGGAGGGGGAAACCTAGGACACAGGTCACATATTTAGAGTTTTAGAAAAAAAAATATCCATTATTTCATTTGTTCCTTACAATAATGATAAGAGGTAGAAAATATAATTGTTACTTACACATGAACATACTGAGGCACAGAGACCTTAAGTAACTTGCAGAAGAAGGTCACAGAAGTATTAAACTTGAATCCAAGCCCGTGCTTTAGTGGGGATTCTTTTCAGATATTAGTTGGGTTGATGATTGCTGAGATCCCTTCCAACTCTACAATTCTGAATATTTTCAATTCTATAATTC